TTCAATCAGCAAAGGATCACACCCTAACTGCTTCCAATTTCCCAGGGTCTAAGCAACACTACGCGGCTGCAGCCTCCGAGGAAGCAATGTCCTGCACGCAAAGGTTTGAGCCATACAACTCCACACAGACCTGGGAACTTCAGCACCTACCGATGAACACCAGCTTTGCAAATCTTGGCTAACTCTTGAAGCACAGAAATAAATACCTTATGTGCTGCTACTTTGTATTAGTTCTCCTGAACCATACAGTTTCCTTGTATCCTCATCATGGACCTAAAACCGAGAGTACTTGCTGCTATACTGTAAAGTTTCTAAATTTTTCTCAGTGTTAACCAGAACAAAAATAACTTTTCTTTAATATGAATGTTATTTACGAATTTTGATATAAAGTTATATATTCAGGTATGGTTTAAGATGAGAAATAAAGCACACAAAAATGGAGAGTTAAGCAGTACAGTAAGTTAGATTGTATACTTCTTGAACACCGATTTTAATAGTGATCTTTTACGTTCACATTATTCCAAATAATTGCTCTAGTTTAGCACCATCAGCCTTAGGGGAACATGTAACATCATTCCTTACAATTCAGTGCATCTTTGCAGTAGTGCACATATTTTTTCAACAATTACACACAAAAAAAAACCTGTCAGAGGGTGTATGTTTTTTTTTATAAATAGCAAGTATCGCTGTTATTAAATAACATTATATTCTCCATTTTGTTGGTAGTAGGAGACTTTCCTGAATGCAAACTACTCCTAAATAATACTCAATAACTGGATTGGCTTTAATGGAAATGGTACATCCAGCCTTTATTGAATTTATTTGCTCATCCACACACCAAGACAACAGAAACCTTGCTTGCTGTTAGCACAGAAAATCTGAATGGTTCAGAAGACTGGAGCATCCCCACAACTCAGTGAATGAGTATGAATGAGGCTGGCTGTCCCTCGGGCAAATCCTCATCCACTTTAAGATTTTAAGAATGTGAAATTTCAAGGGTGAAATAAAGCGCTATGAAAGTCCAAGCACAATAAAGTTGCAACAAGAAGTGCTGGTTTGTTCTGTTGCCTCTTGTATCTGGGTTCTTTACCACACCTGTGCTGTGGAGATCTATGTCAGAAACTAGAAATCCAGTTTGTTTAGAAGCACGCGGGGCGCGGGGACGAGGGCCACAGAGACTCTTCATAGATCTCAAAAGGAAAAAAAGAGTACGACAGCAGGTGATGAGAAGTATTATCAATAAGTCTGAACATATTTGACAATTCTTCCCTATAACCAATGCATTTCTATTTACATGTACTAAATATCTGTATCACGTTCTATTTCATAGTGGTTGATATCAAAGAAAGGTTCCTTCCAAAACAGAAAGCGGCATCAGAAAAATTCAATAGGACATTGTCTTTCTGAAAACAACAACAAATTTAACACTGATTGCACGGGGCATTAATGCTACGATGGAATTCTGCACTCAAGACCAAAAAAAAAAAAATCTTAATATGATCTGTCAATACCATAAAAAATTGCTGCATGAGGAGGTTAACCTCCAAAGAACTATAGTGAGGTTGTTTTGGGCAGGGAGTCGTCGTTATAAGACCTGCCAGTCCAACAGAAACTTCTGCCAACAGAAAGAAACAGCTACTTAGGACTAAAATTCTGGCCCCTTTGTGGCACGGACCTTGTCTTTTCATCCTCTGCAAGGCTTCTTCAGTTCTTCTGCATTTTTGTTGTGTTCCATATATGAATACATATATTTTTTCAACAGAAAAAGAAAAGAAAAAAAAAAACCTGTGGGGAAGCATCCAGACTGTTTAAATTATAACCTCCATAGATAACCAGGCACATTCGACTTCTGCTTTGAGTGACTGTTTCCATTTGCCTCACAAACCAGTTTTTTGTATTCAACCAATAACACACAAAACAAAAGAACTTGAGGATTTTGAAGGTAAAAGCTCTCTCCTCCTTTTCCCTTAGGAAAATATTGTCTTATGGAAGGAAAAGCAATGCCTGCCAGCAAACATTACATTTCAGAAGTATCTATTTTAATAGTCAATATCAAGCAAAAGTGCCCATAAACCAAAAATCCCAAACTGCAAGATACTAGAAATGTTATAGACCATATAAAAAAAAAGACAATTTCTGCAAACTCTCAGTTTCTTCTACAGTTTTTAATCAGCAAGCTGTGCAGTACACCATGAAAAGATCTCTCTGTATTTTGCTGGTGAACTGGCACACCAAGAGTGAAATATTTCTTCAGCACCAGCTTAGCCAGCCAAAAAATGAGTAACATCTGTCTTTTTCATTCAGTCCTACTGAGTTGTTTTCTGGTAGAGCCCTTAGAGATTGAAACAGGGGTGGGAAGTTTGCAGAGCCTATTCTAGACGTCTGATAAAGAAGAGAGACAGAGCATCTAGGTTGTGGCACCAGCATTTAGTCCTTCATCAGAGGACGTAGGTCTGTGGTGTCAGTCAGTGCTCCGAGGTTAGATGCTTTCATGTTGGGCTATGGGATACTTACCTGTAGTTAAGGAATTTCCTTATCAGTGAACAAATGGTAGGGATAAAAAAACCACAACCAACCAACCCACCCCCACCAAAACCCACAACCTAGTGTTTCTCCAAATAATTCACCTCGATTTCTTTTGCCTGAAAATCTGCATTGACTGAAAATAACACTTCCTCCTATAAAAGATGAACAGGCAGTAGTTGGAACAAAAGGCACTAGGACAGAGCTATTAGGAAGTCGCAGGCCTCCTTTCCAAGTTTAGTGAAGGTCCTGTTCCTTGCCGATCTGTACTGGTTTAAAATGGAAAGGTTTAAAAATGAAAATCTGGCTTTTCAAAGAAATTTAGGGGGTTGGGACCAGAGTAATAACATCCATTGATCGTGGATACTGGAGGCATTAAGGATATTCTAAAGGTAAAAAAATATAAAAACTACCACCGTTCAAATGTGGGATGGCTTTGGAAGGCAACAGAGTTCTGCTAGCAATAAAAGACAAAGGAGCTAGGAAATCTTTCACCTTCATCCCTCTCCACAGAGAATCTCCTTTCTGGACTTGTGGATTTTCAGTTTGGGGCAAAAGCAGCTTGCTGCCACAGCACACTCCTATGGGTTAGTTACAGCAAACTTGGCTTCACCGTAGACAGACACAAGCTGGCATGCCAGGAGCCTGCTGGGGTTTTAAACTGCTGCAAAAGAGGATTACAGAAGAGAATACTGAGAGCAGCAGTAGGCAGGGAAGACTGGTGCTTGACTCCTTACCTGACTGAAAGTATGAACTAGCTTGTCTCTTTGTTACTGTAAACCAAATAAGCTAATCATTAGCCAATATAATTATTAGCCACACTTTTCCCTCATTTGTGGTAAACAGATTCCAACGCTTCAATGAAATCACACTGAGATACATTAGACTCAGCTTTTGTAGCCAAGTGTTTTCCCAGAGCTCCTGGAGGGAGCAGAAAAAACCCCCTGTGGCTACATGAAGTACAATTCTCTCTAAATGAAGTGAAAAAATGATTGGTGCTTCCACAACTGAGTTTGCAAACTCTCAAAATATCTTGCTAATAAAGTGAAATAATATTTTACTGTTTATTTGTTTTAATAATACAAGTCCAAAAGTTATTCAAAAGCTAGACCCAAGTTAATAAATTCATGAGTTCTTGCAAGATTAGAATCACAATGAATAGTTAGGAGAGTTTTGGTGCAGAAGAGATATAATTTTGAAGACCATAATTCAGAAAGGTGAAAAACTGCTGAGACAGAGTAAATTGAAAACTTTGACTGCAGTGCTGTTTCATGTACATTCATTCACACAAACACACACAAACACGTACCGTAATTATTTTTGAGGCCACAGTTTACCTCTTCTCACACAAGTTAAAGAAACCTAAACATGAGTATTGAGCAACGTAGAAGTTTTTCAATAAGAAAGCCTGGCCACTGGTGTGTTACATCTGATGGAAATAACATACACAGTAGTGTTTCACTTCCGAGGCTGATCAGAAGCTGTGTTGTATTTATCACACCATGAACATGCCAAGTAACCAGGGCCAAAATTGAGCCAGTCGTAGTTATCGTACTTGGACTTCAACAGAAAGAATTTAGAGCACGTGAACATACAACAATAGCTTAGGAAACCTACTGCAAAAAAAAAAATCAGCCGAGCATAACTTGGCTATCTGAAAGCACACTTGCGAGAATTAAACAGATCATATTCCAGAAGGCTCCCATACCTAAAATGACACTGCAGACACTGAACAACAGAGCTTTGAGCACATGCAGTCTGCCCTGTGCTTACAAAGAATTGTCTTTTCTCAGCTAATGAAATAACAAGCATGTAAAGCTCTCCATACAAAGATTATCAGAAAAACACCACGAATTTCTCCTCTCCTTCTTTTGTACTTATGTGTAAGTTTTAGAAAGCAAAATCATCAAGTGACATTGCTCTGTAATAATTTCAGTTAAAATCACGACACTGCTCTTAATGCAGTTTACAATCTTATAAAACAACCAACCTGAGGAGACAAGAAACAAAACAAAAGCAAAAAGCAACCCACCATTTAAACCAGCGACCAAACAGCAATATGAAAGACACCACATTGCTCTTTCTAGACCTTAGAGATACAGGAGCACTCTGATATTCCAAATACTAGAGGATGCTATTTGCTTATGATACTTTTAAATCACAACTATGAATGTACTTGACATCTCCTGGAAGAGAAAAAACATCCACACATCCCAATTTGTCAGTTCCTCTTTTAAAGCTGACATCTCTGTCTCCTTATTGCACAAAATAAAAGGCTCCGGGTCGCTCGCTCAGTTCCTGCCCTCAAATCACAGCACGCGAGGTCCGCGCTCCACCTGAGGACGACTTGTGGCAGCTGCCACGAACAGAGATGCCCGTGCTCATCAGGGGAGAAGGGGGCACTTCAGACGGCGAAGCTCACTGTGCTGGAAGTGCTCGCAAACAGAGACGTCAAGGAAGTAAAGCAGTTTCCGTACCTGAGTTAACTAGCTGTTGCTCCATGACCCCGCAGCCCAGGACCTCCATCCATTCTCCCTGGAAGTTGATCTCCATCTCAAAGGAAGGGTGAGTAAACGGGAAGTAGCAGTCTACCCATCTGACTTGCAGTCCTGTAGCAGCATTGAAAAAATAAATAAATATGAAGGGTGTATGCTTAAAAGGCCATCCCTCCAACCATCTGTAAAACTTGCCCTTTAACTAACTACATCAATTACAGCAATCCAGAGAAAATAAATAGCAAAGAAACTAATTTACAACACTTGTGCAAGGTGATAAATCTTAAAACTTGTGGAAAAAAATGACCATGTCTTTTCTAATATGAAAAATGCTTTGTACAATTCAAGCACACTTTGAAACCAAATCAATCACTTGTCATACTCTAGCAACCACCTGGCATCAAACAAAAATGAGCCAAGATCATGAGAAAGTCAGTAATTGTATTACTCTTTGCAGTAGGAAATTACCAACTGCTCCTCACAGGAAGAGCTATGTCCTTAATTTTTACTTAGTATCTTGTGGATCAACAAAGCAAGTAATTTTTTTCATCAGAACGTATTTAAAACACAAAGCTATTCTTTCCATATATGTTTAAATGTGGAAGTTAAAAATAGATATTAATACACACAAATAGAAATATATATTTGCACAGAGTTGCACATTTTTAAGGTATGCTACGTACCCCCGCCACACGGAGTACTCCGGACCCAGAAGACGAGAGTTTAACTTTGGATGTGAAACGTAAGAGCAAGGTGCCACTGGGTAACGCCCTCTCCCCAGCTCAGCACCTCCGCCAGCGCCACTGCGCAGGGCAAGTCCCCGGCATCGCTGAGCAGTGGAGCCAGAAGAGGGCAAGGTCTACAGCACTGCCAGAAGCAGGGGTGTTGGCAAGGCTCTCATTACTTCTGATGAGTTTCAGCTCTTGTAGTGATTTACACAGGCTTTGTTTCGCTGAAGAATTGTTTCTAGCCATTAGGTGTCAGGAAAAAAAAGTCTCAGAAACATGAACCGTAAAACTCAAGAGACAATTGAACTGCAAATTCCATGATTTAATGCCTTAACCCCAAAGCCCATCCTTCCCTTCAGTTGAGCCAAGTGCTAATCAGCGTTAGGATCATTAACAACCAGGCAGGCCCAGTTTTGAAAATATGGGGCACAGTAACAGTTGTTTGGGTGATGGTAACTGTTAACACCCCTGGTGTTTGGTTTTCAAGCTTTTGGGAGTTTGTTTCGTAGAAGAAACTTCAAACATGAAATTGCACGATTTTACTGAAAGTTTTTCAAATTAAAACATCTTCTGTAGCCTCCAGGATTAGATTTTCTTTGATTACTTCTGAAACATTAAATGTAGCTACAGCAACTGAAACAAAAGTGTACATACACAGCCAAAACATCGAACAGCGAATGGTTGCGGGGAGCATTTCTAGATGCTGGGAACTGTCAAATGCAGAGGTAGTTACAAAGCAAATGTATTGCTACTTCTAGATCTTCTTTTCTCTCTTAAATATCTATCTCAGGATGTCACATAAATGATAAAAAAAGCATTTTTACAATTCTACACACAGAATTGTGAAAAGTAGAGTGGTAGCAATTATACCATTCACAACTGTCCTGTGACTTGCAGCAATCATTTTACTGCTTTTTTGTCTGCACAAGAATAATAAATTTACATAGATGAAAAAAGTCATGTGCCTACAACAGCATGGTGCGTGGACAACATTTTTTTAATTTCCTGATCTTGGTACAGATGCATTTTTAATCCTAGGGCTGTACAATTCTGCACTCACTGTAAAGCCAAGCACATATAAAATATCTTCATTTAACTTGCAAAATTTGCAACTGCAGCAAGAATTACATTCAATATTCAAGTAGTTTCGTGTTCAGTAACAACATTTGTATAATGGTTTCTTTCTAATACTCTGATTACTTCAAAATAAAGCTCTGGGAAAAAAGGATTTCTCTGCTTTTTGTTCTTAATTAAAATAAGTTTTAAAAGGCATAAAACAAATTTAAAGCTCTTTTTTTAATTTTTAATTTTAACGCATATTAATACTCGAGGCCTTTATTTTAAATAAGCAAGCAAACAAAAACCTGAATAAAACAAAACAAACTCCCAGCGAATACCCAACGCCCGCCTTCACTCTGTTCTCCGGGCGAGCGCTCCATCCCACACACCACACCGATGTCACCCGCGCAGCAGCCGGCGCGACTGGGCGCACCTCTGCGGTTTACATTCCGGTGATCCTTCGACTCTGGAAGACTTCGCTGCAGAGCAGCGGTGCTCGGCCTTCGGCCAGGTGCAACCTGCAAACCGCATTTCTGTAGACTGGCGCAGAACGAGCGGGTACATTCGTTGCTCACGTACAAAGTCCGGTCTCGGTGCCCAATACATTCCCAAGGAATAAGCGGCATCGCTCACACTCAGCAAACGAGGCCACTAAAGACTTCAAAGGATTATGGAGACGGGGCTTTCTGCAGTACTACGCAATTAACCTGATTAGGCCTAGTTCTTCACGCACGGCCTACGGAATGCTGCCAAAAAATTCTCTCCTCTAAAAATTTCCGGAGGCCGAGAGACGCACATCTGTCTGGAAAGAGCACAGCGCTGAGCCCAAGGGAGGGCAGCTGCCTCGGCACAGGCCCGGGGCTGTCCCTGGCCCAGAGGGACCGTCTGTGCCGGCAGCGGACACCCGCCCGTTCCCCGCGGCCCTCCGCAGCCGCTCCCCTCCTCAGCTGGACAGGGAGGGGAAACAGAACCAAGGGCTGGTGGGTCAGGATAAGGGCAGGGAGAGATCGCTCAGCAATCACCGCCACGGGCAAAACAGACTACGCTTGGGGAGATCAGCTTAATTTATTACCGATCAAATCAGACCAGGATAATGAGAAATAAAATCTAATCTCATAAACACCTTTTCTGCACCCCTCTCTTCTTCCCAGGCTCAACTTCACTCCCATTTCTCTCCCTCCTCCCCCCAAGCGGCGCAGGGGGATGGGGAATGGAGGTTGCGGTCAGTTCATCACACGTTGTCTCTGCCGCTCCTTCCTCCTCAGGGGGAGGACTCCTCACCCTCTGCCCCCGCTCCAGCGTGGGGTCCCTCCCCTGGAGGCAGTCCTCCATGGACTGCTCCAGCGCGAGTCACTCACACAGGCTGCAGCCTGCTCCATCACAGGCTCTCCATGGGGTCACAGCCTCCTTTGGGCACATCCACCTCCTCCAGCGTGGGGTCTTCCCTGGGCTGCAGGTGGGTATCTGCTCCACCATGGGCCTCCATGGACTGCAGGGACACAGCCTGACTCACCATAGTCTTCTCCACAGGCTGCAGGGGAACCCCTGCTCCGGCGCCTGGAGCCCCTCTTCCCCCTCCTTCTGCACTGGCCTTGGTGCCCGCAGAGCTCTTTCTCTCACATACTCTCACTCCTCTCTCTGGCCGCAGCTGCTGTTGCGCAGTGACGTTTCTCCCTGCCTAAATACGTTACCCCAGAGGCGCTACCGCCGTCGCTGATGGGCTCGGCCTTGTCCAGCGTCAGGCCCATCCTGGAGCCGGCTGGCGTTGGCTCTGTCGGACATTGGGAAAGCTTCTGGCAGCTTCTCACAGAAGCCCCCCCGCTACCAAAACCTTCTCACACAAAGTACAGTAACTTCCACGTCCCATCGGGAACAAGTAAGGAACAAGTGAACAGTTATTGCTGTTCCTGAGTACGGAGCCCAGGCAAGGAATCGGCCATAGCCTGCCCTGCAAAGCAGTGGTGCTGTCAGCCATTCAGCTACACAAGTCTCTGTCAGTGCTAGCCTAATTGAGTCTCATCATGAAAAAGGCTTGACCAAAGGCACTAAAAAAGAAAGAAAAGACAGAAAATATTCAACACATTAAAGCAGCCTATTGCTAAGCTACAGCACAGAAGCAACAAAGCCAGAGACCCAGATGGTCTTCAGTGACCAGCAATTCTCTTTGTTGCTGAGGATTATTTTTAGAGAAGGGATCTATGGGAGAAAAAGGAGAGGGGCGCAGGGCGGGTGCTGGGGAGCACAGAAGGTATCAAGCCGTGGCCACTTGAGGAGTGTGTTGATTTTTAAGTACTCTGCACCTCACTGCTTCAGCTAATTCATCATACTTGCAGCAGACAGGAGCTGGCTGCCCATAAAGCTATGTTAGCTCACATTATTATTAGCCAGACCATTATGCTCTCAGTAAATGATTTCTTTTTCTTTAAACTCCTTACACTCATAGATCTCCATACACCCAAAGGAGGTATCAGTACAACAGAATTAAGAAGAAGAAAGAGCAGAACAACATGTTGGATTTCAAAGACATCCAGTGGCTGTTCAGTCAGAACCAGCAGCAGAGCCATCAGTCAAAGCTCAGCACTGCTTACCCTCCCAGCTTCTCTTACCAGTGCCTAGAAACTGGGTAGGTAAATATGGGACAGCAGTGAATTTTGGGCCATTTAATGCGAAGCAACAAATCCCAGAACCAGCACACAGTCAATCTTTTATATTTGCTATAGTAAGATTACTTCTGAATCCCTCAGGGTCCACAAAGGCTTTTGGCAAACTACAGAAGGGTTTGAGACAGAACTGGAGTTGGGAAAGACTGACTGACTACCTCTGTGCGGAAATCTAGGACAGCTACCCTCGGAAAGCCTCGTTGCAAGGTGACTGAAACAAGACAGGACAGACTTCCTACACTGACAGATCTGCACGTGGAGATGGAGGTGTAAGTTAAATTAGCGGATTTTAGGTGTGCACCATATCTGGAGGTAACAGAGCAAAGCTGAGAAAGGTGATCTCTAGGTGTAATATTTGAAATAGCTTCCTGACAGCAAAATCTCATGAAAGAAACTGAAAGATCATCACTTGTAGAATGCAAAATCAGACACGGCATACCACCAGAAAATGTAATAAAAAACTACCTTACATTGTCTAGTATTTAAGACAACTGATCCCATGCTCTACATCTATCCTGCCCGCTAATATCCATCGTTCCTTTCTCTGTTGGCAAAGCCAGGAAGAAATAACAAGACAAACTTAGGAATAAATGTAAGTGCAGATTTTTATGAAGTCTTTGACCTTCCTCAAGGCAACCTAGTGATCTTTAAGCAACTTTTGTTATATTGTTTACTGACATGTGCAGTCAACCCTAAAGTATCTAGATAGTGTGGGATCAGTCAGGTAAAGCAAAAGTGGCTCATTAAATAATACAGAAGCTAATCTAGTGCAATACATATCTGAAATGTAACAAAAAAAACAAAAAACAAACAAACAAACAGAAACAAGAAAGGTTAGTGATCTGACCTTCCTGCAGAGATCCCCAATCTGTCATCACCCTAAGCTGGGAAACTCACAGAGAAGCACTGCAGAAGCACAGCTACTTAATACAAAACTAAATTGCATGTCTGTGCATTCATGGTAGACTTCACCAGCCATCCAAAGAATCTGTCTACGAATTACAGTTGCCTGTGCAACAATGCAACATTTCGGTAGCTGACTGCAGCTATGATCACGCTTCCCTGCTAGCAAAGCTGTGCAACTTCACTGCTATATTCTGCTGACAGCACAGGCTGTAAAGAGTACAGCTGATATGAAGTACAAAAGGTATGAAATTTTTGCTTTTAACAGAACATGGGGCCTTATGGAATATCCACATGAAGGGAAAATATAGAATATTTCCAAGAGCAATAAATGCAGTAAATCACTAACTATATCTTGTCTTTGTATTTCAGGAAAAATATTATGAGCATAGAAATAGAAAACCCCTCCAAGTAAGAAGGTGGCACCAACTTTTAGTCTGCAGGTTTACAATCATTTAAGAATATATTTTTTAATGTCTTTCTAGCTACTGTGTGGACTGTAGAAGAACTCGTAATAGCCAACCTACTGAAGCTTAAAGTGCAGCATCTGTCAACAGTCAGAGAAGAATGCCACTGCAGTCTCAGCTATCACTAATAACTCCTAGAAATTGCTCACTTTAAACAACATCCTCAGCATCTGAGGTTGATCTAAAAATATTGTTCTTACTATTACTCACTTTGATTCTAAATTTGCATGCTTCAAAAGGCCACTGTTAAGTAAAATACAACCACAAGAAAATCTGAACTCAGGAACTTAAAAAAATTTTGTCCAGGTGGAATAGAACAAAAACTGGCATAAGTTTTGCTTGCTGTGAATTTCATCAAGATGTTGAAGCAGTCACACATAGCACTTGCTACCATTATCAATCCACTCTTGGAACTACTGCTCTAAACGCAGCGGACAGCTTAAAAGAGCTTTGAAAGCAGCCAGGATACCCCATGCATTACAATACTATCCAGTATTTCCTCAACAGAAAAATGAATCAGTTCAGAAGAGAAGCCACCTTGCCAGGAAATAGCATTAACGTAGCAATTTTGACTCAGGTCATTCATAAATTCAGCTCCTGAAACGGAAAGCAAGTATTTCCAAGGAGAGGGTATTCCATTTGTATACACAGACATTCATCACCCTTCCTCATTCCACTCTAAGTACTAAAAAACAATTATTTTTCAGCTTGGTGCGAACTTAGCAAACACCATCTCCCCTCAGCCGCAAGGTTTAATTTACCTGCACCAGGGAGATGCTCACGGCACTTTGCGCGCGCACGCAGCAAAGCAGCACACGCACTCACTTCTGCCCTTCCCTTCTGCCGTCAGCCTCCACGCTGCCGAGACGTGGCCGTGGCCCCGCACCCTCCCCAGCAGCACCAAGCTCCCTGCCTCTCCTCGCAGGACCCACGCTGACAGGTACGCTGTGTTTACTCAACACGTGGCTTCCGCCAGGCAAGTGCCTGCGCTGGGATCTGGCACGTGTCACAACCTGCATTCATGCCCACCACGTCACCCTGACGCGCTGCGTTCCAAGACCTCTTCACAAAAACCTGGTGATTCACCACAGCGTTGCGTGCATCAGTATTTAGAAAAACCAAGAGAGCAAGGTGTGCGTGGCCCCTGGGGCTGTGCTCAATAATTTTATAAGGTCTGGATATAACAGCATTAAAGAACATACAAACACATGTTACAGCAGAAAGGTCAATCAATAGCCAGTTACTCTGACATTAGAAGACACTGGGATGGAACTCTGACCAAACTTCAGAGAAAAAAGTAATAGTAAAGAATGAATGAAGACTCCTAAAATAACAGCAGATCTCATTAGAAAAAAATCCACATGGCTGTATTTCAGTACACCAGCTGTCAACATCATCCCTAAGCCTCCTGTTTTTATTATGCAACAAAATGTTTCTCAAAAGCCTGGATGCCTACAGCCATCAGCAGTCCAGGAAAAAAGGTGCAAGGACCTACCTTCACCGAAGATGTGAGTCATGAGCTTTGTGAGCACTTGCTTCAGGTTGAATTCCACCAGCCTCACCGCCTCCATGGTGTGGCACTCCTGCTTGTCTGCAGTGCGATGGCCTTGCTCAAACAACTGTAAGCCGTCACCATCTTTAATGCCGGAGAACAGCTAGAATAAAAATCACAAACAACCAGTGTTTTGCATCAACGACTTTCTAAATAAAAAACAAGAGAATGAACTTTTATTGATTTCAGTGGGAATCTTACCTGCTAAGTCTGCACCACGAAAAACAAAATGTTAAAGATTTATTTTATATAAATTCAGTTCACTACACACAGAGATAAATCATCACAAGAACAGAAATATCCAAACAATAAGATTCATTTTATTTCTGCACCATATCTTCAAATAATATGATCAGCTACAGGAAAATATTAATTTGTAAAGGAAATACCTTTTTTTCTGATTCTGTTACTTTGAAAGTTGCCATGCAGAACAAAGTACACTGTATAGTAAATGTAACGTGTCCCGAAAACGACAATGCACAATGGTATTTATCACAGCAGTTACTTTTTTTTAGTAATTGAAAAATGTGAAAGAAATACCAAAAACCCCACA